CCAAAAATATTTAAGACCTACTGAATCTGAATTTAAGACATTAAGGCCTTATTTTAGGAAAACTTTAAGACTTAAGGACCTGCGGCCACCCTGGAGAATTCACAAAATGTTTAATATCAGTCATTATCAGTGTACCAAAATAATTCTAAAATGCCTATTAAATCCACAGTAACTGTAGTCAGCCGCATAAATCACTAAAATTATTAGGAAGTCCTTTAACTTACACTTTGAAGTAATGCTTGGTCATTATTGCCACAGAGCAAATATTTCCCCTAAATTGGCAACATCCCACCCATACTAATGGTTTCTGGCCATTTCTCCAACAGGACAGACTTCCTGCAGGAGGAGCAGTACTTCCTGGACACTCTGAAGACAACCTCACACAACACATGACCACACAGAGATGGGAATAGTTTTGATACGATTTATTTGATAATAAACAGAAGTTACATGACATCAATCTCCAGCATTCACAGTCATCACGTGTACCTGCAAAAATGGAAAAACGAGTCATTTCAGTTAAAATTAGATTAGTAAAAAAAAGCATATATTTAACAAGCCTCAGGCTACCAAAACTCCACATGTTTTTCAGACAGGGATAACTTCTCTCATCATAGGCTTGAATGAATAAACCGTCTAAACGCTGACGGCGTCTCTTTATAGCCGACTATTGACCAAAAAGCATTGAATTACACCTTTTAAGACCCTGAATTTATAGTAAAATACTACTTATACGTACAGCGCTTTATCCAAGTGAATCAGGACACTTCATGGTGGTTTCAGCTCCATCTGTAAGAGAAAACATGGGTTGTAAAAGGTTACAGAAGCACGATCATCTCAGGAAGGTGCGGTCAAACATACACGAGTAAAAAGTTTTGAAAAGAGATCTACCTGCTCAGTGCTGAATCAGCGTTTAGACACAGACGTTCACCTGTTCAGAGACAAATCATTTGATCAGAACCTGCGGTCTCCAGAACAGACCGATGCACTTTAAATCTGCACGTTGTGTCTCAGAAAGATTTTGCTTCGCCATCGTCAGTTATCGCATCAGACGGCACTTCCTATATAGCGGTTTCATCACAGAACACAACTCCACGATCAATGCCTCATGCATTGGAGTAACTAATATGATTCTAAATATACGAGTAAATACGAAGCTTGAAATACCCCAGATTCAGTTCAGTAATAAACTATGTATAAACAAACTTAACCAAGTGAAACACCTAATGACTTAAGCTCTTCCTTAAAACGTCGTAATACACTGAAATACACAAAAATAAATTTGAAAACCCACCATTTTCATGAACTGCGCGTAATTATCACACAGTAAATCAGCCAGCAGATAATCATGACAAAGTCACATTGAATCCAGCCTGCAGAAAGACAAGGGGAAAACCGTGAAAACCTGAACACCATTACTGTGCCTAAAATCAGCGTCACATTAATAAAAACAGCTTTGAACGACAGACTTACATTTATCATGGTGGTTTGCAAGCGCTGCGATGGGATCCTCGCGTGTAATTCATTATGCTTTATTTGAGCGGATCTCCTGTATGTCTGGGAACCATAAACATACACGTGCTGCGGCGAGAAAGAGAGCGAGGAGCAGAGAGCGTCCGCTTTTATAGCGCTGGAGCGTCGCGACCCACGTGACTAGGGCTGCGTTCCATTCGGTAGTGATCATCCCTGTGCCCTATTCCCTTCGAAGCTGAGTTTTAGAGGGTTGAAGGTGTAGCGTTCAAAATAACGGTCACTCGGAACTCACTTATTAGGACACTATATTGAATTCTGTTTGGAATGATCCTACAGCGTAGCTTTCATTAGTGTTCTACTTCCAAGTGCCCTACGAAGGCAGGATTAATGAGTTTGGCGCGCTGGAAATGCCATGTGGAAACCGTAATGCGTGCTGGGAAAATGAAGCGCTTTATAAAATAAAGGTATTACAAAATAACAAATAACTCATTGAACATAATAATAATAATAATAAAAAACATAAAATCACATTATTGCTACGTAATTGTAATTATAAATTTTAAATATATGTTAAAAATGTGATTTATTTATCCACTGCACAATTTAACATGTTTTCACCCCCTATTTAGATTTACAAAATAAAGGTCATTAAAACAATGAACAACTAGCCTAAACGAACGAGTTTTTTAAGAAAATAATAATAATTAACATGTCACATAATTACATATAATGGGTAATAATAATAAACATACCTAGTTTGTAAAAAACTAATTATGTCTAAATCTAATGTAATATTATGTGAGTTACACAAATGTTCCACGTTTTGATGCACAGATAGACCATATTTTCTTTCCAAAGCATTGTTTTTACAGTAATGATAATCAATGATGATATGCTGACAAATATGACCAGTCTGCAGCATCAAGAAGCAGAATGAAGTGAACAAAACAAGTGTTTGAAAATGACCGTGCTAACAACCAAGGGAAGATGAAGTTTAATCAGATGTCCAGTCTCACAAATGTTTGTTTTCACCAGTAGCGGTTTAGTAGGCTATACTGGTTTCAAACAACGAGTTTCAAACAATATCTGTTGGTTAACAAGTTAACACAATAAATCCACATTGGTATTAAGACAAGTCAACTGTATAAAGACAGAAGATTTGAACTGAGAGTTTGAGTATTTTACATAGCCTAAATGTCATCAGTTTATATATATTTTTTCTCTTTCTCTTTGTGTTGTAGCCTAGCTATATTTAGTTCACTGTAGTCTCCCCTACATTAGTAGATTTTTTTTTAGTAGAGCCGAAAGTGTACTTCATTATTTTTACGCACAGCCTTTCAAAATATACTTCATTTGATAGCATGCATGCACACTGGCCATCGACACATATGCGCACTAGAAACTTGATCCTTGTGTAGTGCCTGCGCTTTTTCTCTCCAAACGTAATGAGTGATTAAAATGTCTTTATACTGGTGTAAACTAGAGTTGCAGGTATCTTTTAATTGCCTCACGTCTCGTCAACATCTATTGTTCTGGGTTTGGGTTAAGGCTAGAAGGGATACAGCTGCGGCTACTGGGCATGCGCACATCAATACAGCGTAATTTTTGTCACACTGCACAACAATAATTACTATTTTTGCATTAAGAGGTAGGGTTGGGGTAGGTGTAGATGATAACAAAACACAATCTAATAGGTAGAAAATTAAATTTCAATGTTAGTTTCCGGTCGGAGGAGCTGTATCCTTTCTACCTTGTGGATAAACTAAATATTTTAGTTTAACTACTATTTTAACAGGCATGTAACCAGGGATGGGCAGTATTTCAGATACATGTATTTAAAATACGTATTTGAAATACAAAATACTATTTTGTATTTTGTATTTGAAAGCCTTCGGCAAAAATCAAATGTAATTTGTATTTAAATACATTTAAGATTAGTATTTTTGTATTTTCAAAATACATAACATACTTTGTGCCAGTCAACCTCTTTATCAGGGTGCTGATTTAGTTCAGACACACCCCCTCCCCCAACCCCAACATTCATCACGTGAGCTGCAGCTGTACAACTCCATTCAGCTTTGGGTGAGTGACTTTTCTGGATTAAGATAAGGTGAGGATGTCATGGTCAATTGTACATGTTGATTAAAGTTAAAATAGTGCATCATTCAGATTTGCCGTCAGTTAACATGAAAGAATAAAAGAGCACTGACAAGGTGAAAAATAGTGTTAGCCAATCAGTTTTAATAGCTAATCGGTTGTTTTTTTTATCAACTAGCTTGTCAAATGTGTTTAAAGCATT